TACAATTGGCCTCAGCCCGTCGATCCAGCTCCCACCACAACAAAAACCTAGTTCAAAGTTTGTCTTTGTGTGCATTGGCACTGAGAGGGCAGTTCAGACCTGTTGATGAAGTTATTATTGTTACGGACATAGTTAATCATACAAAGGAACTTTTAATTGCCAAGGGCTTGTACTTGAGAGCTTTATTTAGTCATCACAGGAGGACAAGAGTCATGGCATATGGCTTATATGATTTCACAGTAAGAGCAAAATATTTCACATGCCTTGAAAATTACTACAGCTGACATTTGGAGAAGAGGAAAAAAAAAAAAAAAAAATCCTAGGGCTTTCTTCCAAAATGTAACATCACACACATCGTACATGGCCAACAGAACACTCAGACAGCACTCAGTCGTGCCTCAGGATGTATCTTTGAATTCTGTCAGTAACCTCTGTACTGCTGTTTACCAACTGTTTCTGAATTTGAAACTTTGCCTAAATTGCCAGGAAGGACAAGAAATAGGTATGTCTATCTGTTTTTAATATCTTACCTTTATTAAAATTATTTCACATACTTTTTATATTAAAAAAAAATATTTTGGGCTCTCAGTTCTGATCTGTGCAGTCTAGTAAGAGTTTCCCTTTCTTTTTCACAATGAAACTAACTCTGAAGGTCAGGATTAGTTCTCTCTAGTTGTGTAAAAACATTATTCGTTTTATGAAATTTCTTTATAGCTGAACATGCTTGGCTGATTGCAGAATTTTCTCTTTCAATGTAATCTTTACTTTTAAGATTGTTCCCAAAGCTCAAGTTGTATTTATTTAGTGTTTCCAGAACACATGATCCTAACTGAGTAATATGTATTAATAGTAATAATGGTAATAGAGTTACTGTACATGGAAATTAATCAGAAATCCGTTCAAAGTAGGAAAAATATATCATTATTTGCATAGAAGATGACTGGAAGGTGTTAAGTACATAAATTGAAAACAATTCATGTGGCTAATTGTCCATTAGCACTAAATACTTAAAAATACTTAGAGAAGAAAATTGCCCTTTCAGAAGAAATTAAATCAAGCAACTGAATATAAATTGCATTTTTTGTCAAGACGACATCTAGAGCTCTAAGTTTTTAAAAGGCTTGTGGCTTGTGGTAGTGCTCGGACATTGGCTAGTAGACTGATGAAATTTTCCTGATGACAAACTCTACAGAAATTTCATGTACAATTGCTAGCTGAAGAAGTCAGGTTTAGCTGTGGCTAAAATCTAAGTTGCAATGGAAAGTAAATGTTCCTGAAGTTTTTGGTTTAGCCCATGAATGAATTCGTGGCTCCAGCCCACAGATCACATACAAAGTGTGCAAAGTGACTGGAGTAAGCTGATAGCAAGAAATCGTCAGAAAATGGGCAAGCAAGGAAAAGAAGCACTCCTTCTTCCTCTATATTTAGTAAAAGTAATAATTCTGTTTACAAAAGGAAATGTTTAAGTGATATCTTTCTTTTATACTATTGTTAACATATGATGTTACAGATTTTCTTCCATTACTGTCACAGTATAACCTCCTGCTATAAAAAGGGTAGATGCATGCTGACTCACAAATAGCTTCTTGCTGTCCCACAAAGAGCTTCTTTGAAGCTAATCATCCATTTATTTGCTTTATATATCTTCTATGCAGTTCTAGATCCTCCCAAGTTATCTTAGTTTATATGAGACTGTCTGCAAACTAGATAACATTCAGACTGTTGTGAGGGAAGACGTTCAAAGCCATAGAGCTGTGTTAGATTGAGTTGTAGCCCAGTTCCCTGACAAGACTGCCGGCCTGAGTGAGTTTATGAACTCAGATAAAACTTTGCTGCTCACTTAATTCTGCAATGATGAAAAATGTTTTGTGCATTAAGTACCAACTTGCATGATGTGAAATATTAGTACTTAACTGATTGCTAGAGGCATCACAGAGATAAGTATTGCAAGCTGCTCACAGACATTTCTAAGGCTGTACATATTCGTAAAAGAGGCGAACAATGGACACAAATGCTGTCTTCAGAAAAGAGTAAGCGAAAGGGCAGTGAAGGGTGCAAAGCTAGCTTTGTGTCACCACCATGACTCCCACTACTCTCAGGGAGCTGGAATTCAGCTATATCTGTTTCTGTCATCAGTCTGGAGGAGACATACAGAACTACTTAACTAAATTGGCACTTTCCTTCCTCTGTGCCACTTTAAACAATGGCAGCAAAGAGGGGAAATTTCATAGGATGTAGAGGAAGTTCCATCCTTGCCAATACTGGGAACATTTCTCACCATTGCACATATGCAGTATGGATTGATCTAGCCTATAATAATCAGTGAACACTAATAAATAATTTCCAGCAGTTAAATGTTTCTTACACCACTGATAGGAGACAACTTTTAGAATTTTATGCCTCTTCTTTGCAGTCCCTTTCTCTCATTTCAGAGAGGTCTTCTGTTCACTTCAGAATTTAAAAAAAAATGACTGAGACTCCTCTACTGAACGTTCCCTCCTCAAACCAGAGTGAAAACAAGAGCAACTCAACTATTTGCCTGGACTTGAATGACTGGTGGGAAATTGTGTACTATATAGTACCCAAGTATATCGATACGATCTGCGTTATTGGAATGCTTGGAAATGTATTTGTTCTCTTCATTTATTTACTGCACAAGGGCCCCCTGAAGATAGCTGAAATCTACCTTATGAACCTAGCTGTTGCTGATCTTATCTTCCTCACGTGCCTCCCTTTCTGGGCAAAGACCATCAGGAATGAATTTAACTGGCCGTTTGGCAATTTCCTTTGTCGTAGCACCAGCGCATCCATCGGCCTCAACATGTACACCAGCATCTACTTGCTAGTGGCGGTCAGCGTGGATCGCTATTTGACTTTTGTTCATACCTTGAACCACAGAGGGACACGGAGCAAAACTATGGCCAAAGGGATCTGCTTGCTCACCTGGTTCTTCGGCATCCTTCTCAGCGTCCCAACCTTCATGTTTCGGACTGTGAAACACTTTCCTCTGTGGAATATTTCAGCATGCACTTTAGACTTCCCCACGCCATCCTGGGTAACAGCTGAAAGCCTGGTATTCAACATAGTGGGGTTTGCATTGCCATCTACAGCAATCATCTTCCTTAATTTCTCTACCATTCGCTCCCTACAAAAACAAACAAGAGAACAAAGAGCACTCAGAACAAAGAGTTGCAAGGAGCACAAAGGCACAAAGGCTACCAGGTTGATCTTCGCAGTGGTACTGATGTTTCTTTTGTGCTGGACTCCTTACCATTTTTTTGTATTCCTTGATATATTGTACCAGACAGAAGTGATCAAAGGCTGCTTCTGGGGGGAACTGCTCAACTTTGGTGAGCAGTTTGGTTTTACTCTGGCTACCACCAACAGCTGCATTAACCCTGTGATTTATGTCTTTGCTGGGAAATACTTCAGGCAAAAGGCTTTAGAAGTTTTTTCACAGTTTATTCCCTGTGGATTTCCTCTGAGCTGGGTGTCATTCAAACAAAAGTCTTCATATTTTAACGTGTTTCCAGTCAGGAGTAGTTTAACCTAACGGTTCTTGGTTTCATCTTCTTTTTGATATAACAACTTATTTCAAATGGTATTAAAAATGAATATGAATTGCACTGATCTGGCATTCACAGACTAAGCTAATTATTTATTTAAGTAAATCACTTGACTGCTTATTTGTCCTCAGGTTTGCTTTTCTTTTTCTGTATTATCCATCCAAATGCATAATGTGTGATACCAGAATTTTATACCAAATGATCTAACCTGTCTTATCAATTATCAGTGACTTGAAAGAAAAACTCTTTGACAAGATATGAGAAGGCTGGTTTCTCTACAGAAAGCCAGAAGCTGGCTGAACATTTTACTGCATTGTATCTGTGATGACAACTACTATACCACCAATAATACTATACATAAAATCATAATGTGTATTACAGAGCAAATATGAGCTTAATCTTCAGCTGATAGCTGCATTTGAGCAATTATAGAATAGCTCCAGTTATTTCTAACAATATTTTAACTGGTTTGCACTTTCATGGTAGCATATGGAAAAATTGAATAATTTTTTGAGCATTTCAAATGTATTCAGTGCATAAATATTGTACAAGACAATGTACGACAAAGAAAGTGTACATAAGCTGTACAAAAAGCAAAGCCACTCGGTATCCTCCTCAAAATCAGACTTTTTTTTTGACCAGTAAAACATTACACAATTACTCATCAAGTACGTAAAGATTCTTTTTATTCTTTATATATGAAAATATCAGTGATGGCCATTGATACTGTAGTATTTTGGAATATTTTTCATCTGAGGCAAATTCTTAGATACGTATTTATATTTTTATGAATCAAAATTAATAAACTGCATAACATCCAATTTTACACCATAGTCTTGTTCTTTCTTATATTT